GTTAAAGCTATATATAATTATGGAGGTTCTAGAAGTTAAGCTCACTGCTGAATCCACCTTCCTTTGAGCCACTACCCCTACATCTGGGTGTGTTGTGTGCCAACGACTGTTACTTTTATGCGCTTTTCCTTCATGCTGCCATTGATTAGCTTCCTGCGACAACGATAACACATCCGATTCCGACATGTCCAAGACCCCCGAAGCAGCCACCTCAGCTATAGCCGTGGGCATTCCACGAATGTACTCCCCAGTTGCCATCGCGTCACCTACTTACTATCTCTGCGATAGCATCATAGTGGAGAAATGGCCGTTCCCGGAAGCGCAACAACGGCATGCTTCTTGGGTGCTTGTCCAGCTTACCCCACGTATCTTCAGACACGCCAACCAAGCCGTCCTCCGAAAAATTCAGCATGAGCCATTTGTAATCAACGTAATCTTCCTTCAGCCTTTTCCATCTTGACTGCAGTTGGCTCGCTTTTGTGATGTTGCCACGCCCACCAAGGCGCATGAGGAGATCGGACCATCCCTTGGATTTGAGCTGCTTTCCACCACTTGCAACGTATTCGCTCTTTGCTGCTACTTCGGCATACAAGACCACAGACTCAGCGTCGAGTTCGTTCGTCCCGTTGGCGGACTTGCCTACCTTCGTTGGTGTTGCCATGAAGTGGAATCGACGCGTGGTTTCGAAGGCCAGTCATGACCTTTCCTTTCACAATGAATATTACAAAAGTCCTTCGTTACATTACTACTTGTTGCGGTATATTCATCGAACCCCGAAACCCCGGTGTTGAGTTTTCTTTTGTTGAATTGTGTTAAATGCCAAAAATTTCTAATATCCTTTTTTTGCAAATCAAGATATGTACGAGATCCAAATATGCGCACCCACTCAAATGGTCAAATGTCCACTCACTCATGGAATTTGGTACTATTGACCTAAAACGCCCCTGAGTAAGTAGGTGGGACTAACACTGGTAGGATTTACGCTAGTAAGCTATACCAGCCCCAGGAGATTAATTGTCTGTCCGAAGCCTAAAAAATGTCACATAGTTTAATTCAGATAAAAATCGCGGTCAAGATAATCTTGCATAGTTTAATCAAGATTAAACTTGAGGTCAATATAATCCATTATACTTTAATAAATATCATATATTCTGACAAAAACTGAACAGTCAAAATATGCCTTTGAGGGACATTTCAAATGTGTGAATTATCTGTTAGCGGGATTTTCTCAGTGCAACATTAACGGGATGAAGTCGCTACGCAAAATCGATTTGCAACAGTTGCGAACTCGCATTGGAGGCCACAATTATCAGGATTTAGTCGCGCCTTGAACGTTCTCTGTATCTGCGTGGGGTGCGCAGCCATTCGCAGCGTAGTGGAGGTGAGCTTGCTTCTGATTATCGGGAGGGGTTTGGCGCATTGCCGGGGTTTAGAGTTAGCGAACCACTGGCGGTGCGCCAAACCCCACTTCAACCTAACTAATGTAGGTTCCAGGGCGTCAGGGTTTCGATGTTTCAATGCTCTACATGGGGCACGTTCTTGCGTACACATTTGGCTTGTTTCGAGGTGCTCAAGTGATATTTCATGCGCGATGCGCCATCCCAATTCCTGCCAGCACACTAGCGCAGCGGCATGTTTGCTTGCTAACGATAAGTACTGTACAATACTAACGTTAACATAAACACGAAGGCATACAACGTTGTACACGTTAATCGTACCAACGGTGAATGCTACTTACTGTAGTAGTAGTACTGTAGCGTTAAACAGTATTCAATGTAAGCTGAACCATTGCAGGTAGGAATTCGAGTGGTAAGTACTACTGGTGGCTCCAATTTTGAATCGATTTGACAATATCAATGCGCAATGTGAGTTGGCGTTGTTTGTGTCTCCAGCTCCATAGCGTTGTCGGATGGATGCTCATGTCTTACTGTTAAGCCATCTTTGAAGTTCCTTTAATTCGCTAGTGACATACTCAAACGACAAAAGTAAATTTCGACAACTACAAATGCTCTAACTTTATGCGTCGAAGTTCTTTGGAGCATTAATCTGTATACAAGTAACTATTTGCCCCCACCAACTTTTGTATCCGGTTTTCAGTGAGCTACGCGTAGACTTCAGTTGGTTGTCGGGGTACCCGTAATATCGTTACGTAGAATATATTTTATGGGAACAATCGGATTCGACATCGCTTACTCACACTATGCAAGGCAACAATGGGGTTACAATTCAATCAATGTGGAAGTGATTGCGAAACTCTTGAGTTGGGTTCTTTGAGTTCGGGGTAAAATTAGTGTGATTCTGAATTCAGTGTTTGATTAGATGTAGTCGTCGACCAAGCTTAGTGGTAGTATCAAGTTAGGACTACGCAACTACAGTATAGTCTCAACACAAACTCAAATATTCTGTTAATGTATTTCAAAGCACCAAATTAACACGTCACAACAAAGCCCCCTGCCCACCCCCCAAATCAAGTACATGTGTAGCGATGTGACAGATGGGGGTAACGCCTTGCCACCACCTTGCCCGCACCCAGCTCCTAGATGCCAGGCCCATGACGCACCCTAGCTAATGCTTGCCTGGGGATGTGTCTCAAGGGCATGTATGGCTTAGAAGCGCTAGCCTAGTGAAGTTCCCCAATGTCTCAACTGCACCCGCATCCATTGTATACAAAAGTGCATACTAGTGTAGAAGTAGTGAAGTAGACGAAGGAGATTTCATAGGGATGAGGACTGAGGAGATCTTAGTAGATCCTGAGTTAATTCATTGTGCATTTTGCCCTCAACTACCTACGCTTCCTCCCGCAGTGCTACAAGTGGTAGGTAGCACTTCCTGGTTCTCTCGCCCCAAGACCCGTCAACCCGCCGTACGTAGCCAGTCCTCATAGACAGTTGTGTACTCGTTTGTAGAGACTACATATCGCCAAAGGTATTAAAAACGTGGTCCTTGCTACCCGTTGCCTGGTGATAGTCTCAGCAACAAAATCAATACACGTTCTGAGTGATCTACTAGTGTACGCCCCGTAGCAAGACCCGCAAGCCAAGATATTGGCGAATTATTCGACTATCCGGATCTGCCGGTTAAGCTACGCCAAGACCTTTGCGTATTAACCCGTCACCAACGCGTGGTTATTAACAAGTTGCGTACCCAGATTCCCGAAGCGAAGAACTCCGACGCGCGCAACGCTATCCAAGAGATCACAGACTTATTGATCCACCGGAACGACCAAATCGAGCTACCGAAGTCAACAGCGACACAGAAGACAGCGAAGATGACGTAGAAGAAGCGATCCTAGGCAACAACATGGGCCTAGCTCAGCAAGACTCCGCGGGGGAGTCAATTAACATCACTACCGCCCAGCAAACAGTGCCACCGCGTGAAAACAAGTTGATGATAGTTCACGGCGCACTCGATAGCACAAGCGCTCGCATCCTGATCGACTCTGGTGCCTTGAACTTACTTTTGGGCAAGACAGTGATCCGTTCCAAGGAAGTTCAAGCGGAAGGCTTCGATGGATACTGCTCTGGCATCAAGAAAGTGATGGAAGTATCTGGCACACTTTGCTTTGGTCAATGGACGTTCCAGGATATTATACTTACCGAGTGGGATCTGGGGAAGAAGGATTTTGACGTCTTATTGGGGAAACCCTGGTTCTTTCGTTACAACCCTGTCATTGACTGGCGTACCCATCAAATCCTCAACGTCAACTCAGGTGAAGTCTGAAGAACTTCAGTACCTTGAAGGATGGATGATCAAAGTCACGACGAAACCGGAACCTCAGTAGAACACCCGCTCGTGGCCAGGGTCGTGGATGAATTTCGTGACGTGTTTCCCGACAAGTTACCCAACATGTTACCATCGCCGCGTGGGATTGAGTTCGATTTGACCATGAAGCCTGACGCGAGGCCCCAGCACCGACTCCCGTTCCGTGTGTCCAAGGTAGAAGCAGGTTCTTTGGACACGTTCGTCGACGATCTGTTGCAAAAGGGCTGGATCGAGCTCTCTAACAGCGACTGGGTATCCAACATCTTCGGTGTTCCCAAGCGTAGTGATGATGGTCAGATGTTTTCACGCCGTGAGTGGCTTCGTACCGCCACGCCTGACACCCCTATACGATGGGTGTTGAATTACCGCCATGTCAACTCTCAGTCCATCGTGCCAAAGATCCCGCTGCCCAACATTAAAGACCTGTTTGACGGCATGCACGGATTCCGAGTATTTACGAAGATCGACTTAGCGTCTGGCTACCACCAAATGCTCGTGATGCCATCAGCGCGGAAGTACACCGCCTTCAGGACCCATCGCGATGTTTATGAATGGGTAGTGGCCCCAATAGGTATAGCTGGCATGCCAGGCACCTGGTCTCGCCTTATGCGTCGATTGTTTGACAAGTTCG